AGTTGTTTAGCTTTTTCCTATTTTGACCAATTTAGGTAAGCTTCACAAATATATTTTTTTAATTTAAGAAAATTTAGAGGGTACAAGCATTTTCTGTTATATGAAGAATTATATCATGCTGATGTCAGGGCTTTCAGTGTACCTGTCACCAGAATAATGTACATTATACTCAATAGGTACAATGTATCTGTTGATTTTTATCCCTCACTGTTTTTCCATTCCTGAGATACTTTATATAGATAATGGTCTCCAATTCCATCCAAGTTGCTGCAAAAGACATTATTTCCTTTCTTTATGGATGAATAGTACTCCATACACACACACACACACACACACACACACACACACACACACACCCCACCCCACATTTTCTTTATCCACTCATTAGTTGATGGACACTTAGGTTGATTCTATATTTTTGTCATGTGATTTGTGCTACAATAAACATTTGGGTGCAGGTGTGTTTTTGATAAAATGACTTCTTTTCTTTTGGGTAGATACCCAGTAGAGGGATTGCTGGATCAAATGGTAGGTCTACTTTTAGTTCTTTGTGGAATCTCCATACTGCTTTCCATAGCAGTTTGTGTACATTCCCACCAACAGTATATAAAGTGTTCCCTTTTACCACAGCCATGCCAAGCTCTATTATTTTTTGACTTTTTAATAATAGTGATTCTGAGAGAGCTAAGGTAGTATCTGTCTCGTTGTTTTAATTTACATTTCCCTGATAATTAATGATGTTAAGCATTTTCATATGTTTGTTGGCCATTTGCCTTATCTTCTTTTAAGAAAAATCAATTTGTGTCTTTTGCCCACTTTTAATGAAGTTATTTGTTTTTTTCTTGCTGACTTGTTTGAGTTCTTTGTAGATTCTGAATATTAGCCCTTGGTCAGATATATAGTTTGTGAATATTTTCTCCCATTCTGTAGGTTTTCTGTTTATTCTCTTGATTATTCCATTTGTTGTGGAGAAACTTTTAAGTTTAATTAAGTCCCATTTATTTATTTTTATCGTTGCTATATTTGCTTTTGGAGTCTTACTCATAAATTCTTTGCCTAGCCAATGTCCAGAGTAGTTTTTCCTAGATTTTCTTCTAGAATTATTATGGTTTCAAGTTTTACATTTAAGTCTTGAGTTAATTGTTTTATATGGTGAGAGAGATAAATCCAGTTTCATTCTTCTGCATGTGGCAATACAGTTTCCCAGCACCATTTATTGAATAGAGCATCCTTTCCCCAGTGTATGTTTTTCTCTGCTTTGTCAAAAATCAGTTGGTCATAGCTATTTGGTTTTATTTCTGCATTCTCTATTCTGTTCCATAGGTCTATGTGTCTAACCTTTATACCAGTATCATGCTATTTTGGTTATATAGTCTTAGAGTATAATTTGAAGTCAGGTCATGTGATACCTCCAGATTTGTTCTTTTTGCTTAGGATTGCTTTGGCTATTCGGGGTCTTTTTTGGTTCCATATGAAGTTTAGGATTATGTTTCCTAGATCCGTGAGGAAGGGCATTGAATTTTGATGGGAATTGCATTGAATCTTTAAATCACTTTGGGCAGTGTGGCTCTTTGAACAATGTTGATTCTTACAATCCATGAGTGTGGAATGTTTTTCCATTTGTTTGTGTCATCTATGGTTTCTTTGATCAGTGTTTTGTAGTTTTCCTTACAGAGATCTTTCACCTCCATGGTAAAGTATATTCCTAGGTATTTAATTTTCTTTGTAGCTATTATAAATGGTATTGAGTTCTTTATTTATTCTTAGCTTCACTGTTATTAGTATATGGAAATGCTATTGATTTGTGTACATTGATTTTATAACTGTGACTTTATCAATTTTAGGAGTTTTTTGGTGGAGTTTTTAGGGTTTTCTAAGCATAAGATCATATTGTTGGCAAACGGGTAGTCTGACCTCCTCTTTCCCAATTTGAATGCCCTTTATTTCTTTCTCTTACCTGATTGCTCTGGGTAGAACCTTTAGTACTATGTTGAATAGAAGTTGTGACAGTGGACATCCTTGTCTTGTTCATGCTTTTAGCGTTTCCCTATTCAGTATGATATTGGCTATTGGTTTGTCATATATGGCTTTTATTATTTTGAGATATGTTCCTTCTATGCTTACTTTACCGAGAGTTTTTCCCATGAAAGAGGGGGCTGCATTTTATTGAATGCTTTTTCTGCATCTATTGAGAAACTTGTATTATCTTTGTTTTTGATTCTGTTTATGTGGTGAATTACGTTTATTGATTTGCATATATTAAACCATCCTTACATCCTTGAGATGAATCCCACTTGGTCATGGTGATTATTATTATTATTTGATGTGCTGTTGAATTCGGTTTGCTAGTGTTTTGTTGAGGATTTTTGCATCTATGTTCATGAGGGATATTGGTCTATGGTTTTCTTTTTTGTTGTTGTCATGTCCTTTCCTGGCTTTGGTATCAGGGTGATACTAGCTTCGTAGAATGAGTTAGGGAGTATTCTATCCTTCTTGATGTTATGGAACAGTTTCAGTAGAATGGGTGCCATTTCTTCTTTGTAGGTCCAGTAGAATTTGGCTGTGAATCCATCTGGTCCAGAGCTATTTCGTTGTTAGGAGAGTTTTTATTGCCATTTCAATCTTGTTTGTCATTATTGGTCTGTTCAGGATTTTTTTTTCTTCTTGAGGCAGGGTCTTGCTCTGCCACCCAGATTAGCTAGAATGCAGTGGTGTCATCATAGCTCACTGCAACCTCAAACTTCTCTGCTCAAGTAATCAACCTGCCTCAGCCTCCTGAATGACTGGGGCTGCAGATGCATACCACCACACCCAACTAATTTTTCTACTTTTTTGTAAAAACGGGGTCTCATTCTTGCTCACACTGGTCTCAAACTCCTGGCCTCTAGCAATCCTCCTGCCTCAGCCTCCTAGAGTGCAGTATACATTGTAATGTCTCCTTTTTCATCTCTGATTTATTTTTTGGGTCTTCTCTCTTTTTTTCTCAGTTTGGCTACAGGTATGCCAATTTCATTTATCTTTTTAAAAAACAAACTTTTCGTTTTGTTGATCTTTGTATTTTTTGTTTGTTTCAATTGCATTTATTTCTGCTGTGATCTTTATTATTTCTTTTCTTCTACTAATTTTGGGTTTGGTTTGCTCTTGTTTTTCTGATTCTTTGAGATGCATCATTAGATTGTTTATTTGAAGCTTTTCTACTTTTTTGATGTAAGCACTTATTACTATAAACTTTCCTCTTATTACTACTTTTTCTGATTCCCATAGGTTTTGATATGTTGTATTTTCATTTTCATTTGTTTTGAGAAATTTTTAAATTTCATTCTTAATCTCTTGATTGAGTCACTGGTCATTCAGGAGCATATTGTTTAATTTCCATGTATTTGTATAGTTTCCAATTTTCCTCTCGTTGATTTTTATTTTATTGTGGTCATAGAAAATACTTGACATGATTTTAATTTTTTAAAAAATTTTTAAGACTTTTTTTGTGGCCTGATATATGATCTACCCTTAAGAATGGTCCATGAGCTGAAGAGAAGAACATATATTATGTAGCTTTTGGATGAAATGTTCTTTAAATATCTATTAGGTCCACTTGGTCTATAGTGCAGATTAAGTCCAATGTTCTTTATTGATTTTCTGTACAGATGATCTGTCCAATGCTGAAAGTGGAGTGTTGAGGTCTCCAACTATTATTGTACTGGATTCTATCTCTCTCTTTAGCTCTGATAATATTTGCTTTATATATCTAGGTACTCCAGTGTTTAGTGAATATATATTTAGAGTTGTTATATCCACTTGCTGAATTGACACCTTTATCATTACACAATGACCTTCTTTGTCTCTTTTTACAGTTTTTGTCTTGAAATCTATTTTATCTGATAGAAGTATAGCTACTCCTGCTCTTTGGGTTTCATTTGCATAGAATATGTTTTTCCTTCTCTTTATTTTCAGTCTGTATTTGTCTTTATAGAGGAAGTGGGTTTCTGGTAGATGACATATAGTTAGGTCTTTTTTTTTTAATCCATTCAGCCATTCTTTCTTTTGATTAGAGAATTTAATCTGTTTACATTCAGTGTTCTTATTTATAGGTAAGGACTTACTATTACCATGTTGTTATTTGATTTCTGGTTGTTTTGTGATCCTGTCTTTCCTAACAGAAATTCTACACTTTACACTTTAATTAACTATGAAACTGCTTTAATTCCATCCCCCCTTTTTAACTTTTTATTGCTTCCATCTATATCCTTTTATACTATCTATCAACAAGTTTTTATAGCTATTTTTGATAAATTTGTCTTTTAGTCTTCCTACTCAAGATATAAGTAGTTTATATACCACAATAATAGCAATAGAGTATTCTGTATTTGTGTACTTACTATTACCAGTGAATCATAACCTTCAGATAATTCATGTTATTCATGAATGTCCTTTCTTTCAGATTGGAAAGATCTGTCCTCTTCTTTCAGAGGAACGCCTTTTAACATTTCTTGTAGGATAGGCCTGGTATTGATGAAATCCCTCAGCTTTTGTTTGTCTGGGAAAGTATTTCTCCTTCATTTTTGAAGGATGTTTTTGCAGGGTATAATATTATAGGGTTAAGAGTTTTTTCCTTCAGCACTTTGATATCCCATGCTGATCTCTCCTAGCCCACAAGGTTGTCACTGAGAAGTCTGCTGCCAGGTATATTGGAGTTATGAGAATGAGAAAAGTATACTGAGAGCAAAGTATTTGAATAGAACTGTGGAGGGTGGCTCTCCACTGGCCAGCTTCTCTCCGGGGTATCCTAGTGACTCATGGGGTAGAGAGGGAGGAATGTTATAGAGAACGAGTGTCAAGATCTGCTTATAGATCCCAAACTACTCTATTAAAACTTCATTAAAAAGAAATAATCCCCCCAAAAGATATAATCTATGAAATATTTTATTGTTGAATATTGAAGTCTGACATTAGTGATGAATGATATTCTTGAAACTCAGACAAATCTTACCTTTATGTTTTAGTCAAAGAAGTTTGGCAGAGATCACAGAACTTATCCATACTGCTCTCCTTGTACATCGTGGGATTGTAAATTTAAATGAATTGCAGTCTTCTGATGGGCCACTGAAAGACATGCAGTTTGGAAATAAAATTGCTATCCTGAGTGGAGACTTTCTTCTAGCAAATGCCTGCAATGGACTAGCTCTGCTGCAGAACACCAAGGTAAAAACGGGGAGGGTTTGTGTGTGCCTAGATACCCTTCAAAGAGGGAGCCACAGATGTCTGGGCGCCCTGCTGCCTCAACTCTCCTCACATGAATGCTCATGATGAAACTATGATAAAGATGATGATGTCAGAACCAAGTAAAACATAGATGTTAGGGAAGAATTTTGAAGTTAATTTCTATTTTTTTCTGATTATAGATGAAATTATTTGTTAATTTTAAGATAGGGTTAAATCTTCAAAATAAAGAAGATATAAATAAATACTACCTATCATCCCACTGTCCAGAGATAATCACTATTAGTTAATATTTTGATGTATTTCCCTATAGTATTTTTTGTTCATCCTTACCTTTATATATTTGGATTTTATTTTCTGTAAAATAGGTGAGAACTTGCTGTATATAAGGTTTTTTTATCCTGCCTATTTTTTCCGCTTCATATTTATAATGTGAGTAGTTTCCCATGTTACCAACATTTTTCATAAACTTCTAAATGACTGCATGATATTCAGTCATTTAAATATAACTTAACAAAATCCTCATTGGACATTTAGGTTATTTATATTTTACTATCATAAATAGATCTTCAATAATAGATCTTTGCACATCAATTTTCCCTATTTATTCCAGAATATTGCTTTAAAATAACTACCTAAAAGTGATTCAAGGGTTTAAACATTTTTAGTATTATTGATACTATTGCCAAGCTACTTTCTGGAAAGTTTGTAGAGGTATTCCTTGTATATCAGGATTTGATTTGACTGTGAAATAACAGTGGCCTAAACAAGATAGGAAGTTTATTTTTTCTCTCATGTAAAAACATCCAGGAGTAGTTCAGTAAAGAGTTGTAGTGATTCCTCAATGTCAGGAGCCCAGGCTCCTTCTATCTTACTATTCTGCCATCCTTATCTTACCATTCTGTGGTTCAAGACAGTTGCCATCATTTCCTCACTCCAGTCCATAGGAGGAGAAAGGGCAAAAAGGGCAGATGTCCTTGACAGTCAGATGAGTATGCATCCTGGTCCGCTAAGGACAATCTCAGTGTAAATCAACTATCCTGGAATCCCATCCTGATTTTTTTCATTTTTTAATGATAATTACATTAGAATAAGCCAGGATAAATTTGGTAGATCTCTACTTTGTGTTTTCGGCCTCTGCCTTTGTTTTTGTCCAGTGTAGTCTAATAGTATTCTGAGACTGCTGCACAGTGGAGAGAGTTCTAATTTTAAGGTGTTATTAAATCCAAAAGACAACCAACAGTAACTCGTCTCTTTTCCCAACCCTTTCGTGTAACAAACACCTCCCAATCAAGGACAGAATGCAGGGCAACTGCTGATACAACAAAGTGCATTCAGACACAAATGTCTTAACTCCTTCCTCTATCAGGTGGTGGGAGAAATATTTGACACTGCTGCCCCAGCTAGCTACCTGGTATATCATCCTGTTGTGCCATGCCTTATGTATATGCTAGGAAAGTCACAAAGCCACCAGGTACCAGTTGATAAGTTCAGTAGGAAACAGCAAGTTATAGGTTGGGTGTCTGTAAAATATACATGAGCAATCGAGGCTGATCAGTTCTGCTATAGAGCAAGTGGAGAGTAGACTGAGCATCCTTGCTTCTGTGATGTAAATCTGTGACTACTTTATTGTTTGGCAACACTTTGTTTTTGCAATAAACCTTTCTGGTAACAATAAGCTCAAAACACTGAAAGTATTTCATTTTTTAAAAGTTACTGGATTTTTGCTTTTCAATAAAGTTAATTAGGAATGTGTATAACTTGCACAAAATGTTTGTTGACATTCACTAACCCATATGGAGGCCAATGTGGTATCATTGACCACATGAAAACGAGAAAAGTCAAATCTGCTTTGTGCAGCTGCAGAAGGTATATATACATACCACTCTGAAACACAACTTTTATTTAGATAAATAACTATTTTTCTAAGTTAATTTCACTAATTTTCAGCTACAAGTTTTTATGTGCACATAAGAAAGGGGAAGAAATAGTTCTCATGCTTGTTGGCTCCATTGGCAGAAGAACTTTGCAAACAGTTAAATACTTCCAAGTTTAGTTCAGTGTCTTCTGGGGCTTCAAATAATTAAATCATTTAAGTTAATTCTAAAAATGGGTTGGGTTTTTTTCTTTCTATTCATTCATGGTATCAATATGAAGCTTTTGGAAGTATATTCTATCAAAGGTAAAGCCTTTGTGAGTGAGATTAGAAATTCAGTTTGAAAGTTCAACATTGAAGATAAAATTACTAGTTTATAGCAACAATACAAGTACAAATTTTGATGAAGCACATTGTCATGATAAAAATAATGTTTTTGCTACATTAAGAAACCTATGGGCCGGGCACCGTGGCTCACGCCTATAATCCTAGCACTCTGGGAGGCCAAGGTGGGAGGATTACCCAAGGTCAGGAGTTCGAAACCAGCCTGAGCAAGAGCGAGACACCCGTCTCTACTATAAATAGAAAGAAATTAATTGGCCAACTAATATATATAGAAAAAATTAGCCGGGCATGGTGGCGCATGCCTATAGTCCTAGCTACTCGAGAGGCTAAGACAGAAGGATTACTTGAGCCCAGGAGTTTGAGGTTGCTGTGAGCTAGGCTGATGCCACGGCACTCCAGCCCCGGCAATAGAGTGAGACTCTGTCTCAAAAAAAAAAAAAAAAACCAATATGGAGATACCTTAAAGTGATATAAGTAGATCTACCATTTGACCCAACAATTCTACTACTGGGCATCTACCCAAAAGATCAAAAGTCACTTTATAAAAAAGACACCTGCACTCGAATGTTTATAGCAGCACAATTCACAATTGCAAAGTTGTGGAAACAACCCAAGTGCCCATCAATACATAAGTGGATTAATAAAATGTGGTATATGTATACCATGGAGTGCTATTCAGCTTTAAGAAACAATGTATATGTATACCATGGAGTGCTATTCAGCTTTAAGAAACAATGGTGATATAGCACCTCTTGTATATTCCTGGATAGAGCTGGAACCCATTCTACTTAGTGAAGTATCTCAAGAATGGAAAAACAAGCACCACATGTACTCACCAGCAAACTGGTATTAACGGATCAACTCCTAAGTGGATATATAGGAATAACATTTATCGGGTGTCGGGCAGGTGGGGGGGAAGGAGGGGATGGTATATACAAGCATAATGAGTGTGATGTGCAACGTTTGGGGGATGGTCATGCTTGAAGCTCTGACTCGAGGGGGGAGGGGGGTATGGGCAATATACATTACCTTAACATTTGTACCCCCATAATATGCTGAAATAAAAAAAAATTTAAAAAATGTCTCATCTTGTAGGAGAATCTTTTAGTGGTGCTCCTACTTTAAATAAATTATACACACACACAAATGAAAGAAGATTGAGAAGGCGTAGATTTTGTAGCATCTAAATTTGGTAAAACCTTCAAAAGAATTATAGAGACTATTTGACAAGTTTGGTGTTACAAAAATATTTGTTAAATAAGGCCGGGCGCTGTGGCTCACGCCTGTAATCCTAGCTCTTGGGAGGCCGAGGCGGGCGGATTGCTCAAGGTCAGGAGTTCAAAACCAGAGAAATTAATTGGCCAACTGATATATATATAAAAAAATTAGCCGGGCATGGTGGCGCATGCCTGTAGTCCCAGCTACCCGGGAGGCTGAGGCAGAAGGATCACTTGAGCCCAGGAGTTTGAGGTTGCTGTGAGCTAGGCTGACGCCACGGCACTCACTCTAGCCTGGGCAACAAAGCGAGACTCTGTCTCCAAAAAAAAAAAAAAAAATATTTGTTAAATAAAGATAATCTGATGGAGGCAAAAAGACAGTTCCTATGAAAATATTTGGGCTGGAATATTTTTATACTGTTCAATAATCTAAAAATTAGAATTATGTCCTCTATTTAGCAAATTTGTTCTGAGCCTACCAGCTAACTCAGAACCTGTAAAAAGAGCATTTTCTCAATTTAAAATGCTATTATGGTCTACCAAGAAGAAATAATTGAAGGTACCACCAATTTCAAATTAATTAACCATAAAATGCAACTGTGAATTTATATTGCTGGCAATTTTATTTTAAAATACCATATTTTGAAAAACACATTCTTCAAAAAAATGCCAGTGGCACAAAATTAGAGACAGATATGGCTAAGAAAGGGATTAAAGTGTGTCAATATGCATCAAGAATAATTATTCTACTTGTTATTTTTTAATATTCAGATAGTCAATATGAAGTTCTTTTTATATTTTTTTATTTTGTCCATCCTAGTTTGTCCTATGAAGTTCTTTTTTATCTTAATGTATATAGATATATGTTATTATTTCTTTTGAAGTTTTATTTTTGAAAGTAGTTTTTGAATAGAACTAGTCGAGTCCACCGATATAATAAAATCAATTGCTAATAAATGCATGTTTCAAAAAGTCTAAAAGTTTAGTTGTTTTAGCACTTCTTTTTACTCTTAAGTGACCCAGTTTGGATGATAAATTTGAAAGTACTCACACTTGAAGGACATTTCTTAGAAATTATATGAGATCCTTCTGTTTACATCCTATTGACAAGAATTTAACGATATGGCCACACTTATCTGTAAGGGAGGCTAGAAATGTAATCTTTTTTTGTTGGGTAGCCATGTATCCAGCCAAAAATCAGGAAGATACAGAAAATAGATACTGCAAGACAAGTAGCATTCTTCCCTTACCTTCCCATCATGTTTTTCCATTTTTGGCTAACACATATTTTCATGAGATAGACCTGCTGATTTTAAGGGAGAAAGTAGTATGGCATCTTTAATATGTAGGGGGAAAAAAAAAAGCTAATGTAAGAAATGAGTTGGCTATATGAAGCAGAATAATAAGAATCTCAAATCTACCTCCAGAGGTTTATTATCATTTCAGTATTCCTACTTTTATTCATGTCTAATTTATCCCTTCTCTATGCATATAGGGTATTTGGATGGGTCTCACTAAATTCTCTTCATCACTGGAATTCACAT